TTTTTTACCAAACAGTCTATGGCATTTACTAGAAATGGGTGTGGTGAGAGTGTGGAAATCTTAGCAGAGGTTGCTCAACAGTTTCTCCAGATCATAACACAATAAAGCTGATGGTACAGTAGCTAGCCTGTTCCTGTTTTGACAAATGGAGAAATGGGAAGGTTTTTCATTTCAAGGATTTCATTTTTGTAGACTGCCTTTGTATTTAACATGAATGTGAAAATGAAATTAAAACGAGAATAAAATGTTTTGATTTTTGCTGTTTTGCATTGGGCTTTGTGTTCAGCACTTGGTTACTTTACAGTTGTGTATTACTGCAAGTGGAAGCGCTCTGCTCCTATTTTATTTTTAATTTTTTTGAGAGAGAGCAGGCCAAGGTCCACTTTTGCCACACGTTGGTTGCTTCTGTAGTTGTCCTTCGTTGTCACACGTAACCGTTACTTGATGGCTGACTTCAGACTGCTGCCATGCACTAAGCCGGCATCACTCTTCAGCCTTTCTGGAGGGGCAGCTTAGCCTTAAGGTAAGATGAAGGTACATTTTGAGTTAATTGGGTGTCCAAATTGTACAGGGGGTGTGACACCAAGTAGCTCACCTGATAGAGTGGGCTTCGTGTACATAAAGGCACTGCTCCTGCTGCTGCAGCAACAGGTTCAGTTCTGGCCCATTGCTGCATGCCATTCTCTCTCTTCCCTTTCACACAAACACTGTCCTATCAAATAAAGTCTCAAAGGAAATGGGTGTGGCTGGATGTGTGATAATTTAGCTGCTATTTAGAGCTGAAACCTAGCTGAGACTGCTCATAATAGTTTCCTCAGAACTTTATGCAGTAAAGCTGATGGAACAGTAGCCTATACTGATGAGTGGAGACATGGAAATGTAAGTTAAAGATGTCATTTTTAGATTTCTTATGTTTTTAACAAGATTGTTACTACTTACAGAAGTAAAACAAGAATTACATTTTCGCTTTCTGTTGTTTTGCATCAGGCTTTGTGTTAAAATACTTAGTTAGTTTACAGGTGTGTATTACTGTGAGTGAATAGCTCTGCTCCAGCTGTTTGGACTGTGCATTTTATGAGCAAAAACAAAAACGTGTTAGAAAGGAACTATAGAAGAACACAGCAAACTGAGAGGAGACACTTGTATACAGGAGCATATAGGTGCAGGAACATAGGATTATTACGGAAACCACAGCACAGCAGAGCATAAACAGCTAAAATATGATGGATCACGTCACTTTCATGTTCTCATCATATCATCAAGGTAACAGAGGTGGGGGACTCCAATCACATGACTTAATAAAATAATAACAAATGAAAAAAAGACATCAACCAACAAAATTTGACTGCTGTGCTGAAGGCCACTCTGGGAGGTCTGAAGAAGCTCGACTGCTTCCTGGATGCAGTGGAGAAACTGGCGGTCATCTTGCTTCATGTGTTCATGGAGGAGAACCAGGTGCTACATCTGTGACAGCTGGAGTTTTTCTAGGTCTGATAATAGGTAGGACAGCACTGGGATTAACCAGCGGACTCAACAGTGCTGTTACCACCGCCACAGAGCTTGTGGTAAACCATAAACATCAAAAGGAAGCTGGTGAAGTCTTCCAGAGCTTCATGGAGGATGTGCAGAGTCTCCAGGATTGTCTGGAGGAGGTGTCTGCTCAACCAGCTGCTAACATTCCATTGAATGTACAATATCTCAAGGTACTCAGTTTGTTGAGTAAACCTGTGTCAGTTAGACGCAGTATTGGCTCACTTGTTACAGATGTCTCAGCTTTACAGGCATTGAGAAGTGACGAGCAGGCTCTGAGGGCTGGCTTAGTGGTGGTGCAGGAAGGACAAGCATTACGTAATGTGCCCAGGGTGGCTTCAGATCTCCCAGATATTGGACAGGCAACTGTCAAAGGGCCTCTTGCCCTCTCCAAGTCAGCCAGGGCTGGTCTCATTGGGCTCAATGCTCTCTTCCTCGGCATGGATATTGTCTTCATCTGTAAAGACAGTATCAGTCTGGCCAAAGGCAGCAAGACTGAAATCTCGCAGTTAATCAGAGCCAGAGCTGCTCGTTGGAGCTCAGAGTTGGACTCATGGCAGAAGATTCATGACTCACTGAGCAAAGGTCTGCAGACATCAGAGAAAAACAAAGGTATCCTGGAGACGCCATATTATCCAGAGAGGGAGGTGA